GCTGGGATGCTGAGGAAGGAAAGAGCAGAGGAGAGGGGGAAAGGGGAGAAGAGGGAGGAGGGGAGGTGATAGGGGAAAAAGAGGGAGCGGGCGGGAAGGGGGATGAGGAGAACGGGGGGAGAGAAGGGATGGGAGGAGAGGCCACTGTGGATGTATGGGAAGGGGAGAGCAGGGGGCTGGGAAAAGAGACAGGAGAGCTGGGAAGGGGGTTCAGGGAGGGGCATGGGAAGGAGACAGGAGAGCTGGGAAGCATTAGGGTGGAGGTGGTGCCTGGGTCATTAGGGTAGAGGTGTGGGGACAGCAGCAGTGAGGATGAGTTGGGATAGATGGAGGTTGGTGGGTGTGGGGAGGAGGTTGGAGTGAGGAATGCGATGTGATGAGAGGGATCACCAGGGCAGAAGGTGGGAAAAGAGGAGAGGCACACCAACAAGGCAATAACATATGCCCATCATTGCCCTTGCTCCAAGGTTCATGCCAGCCCTCTTTTGAGCCAGGGTCCCCACACTCAGCCAATTCCCGTTACCCCCTAAGCCTCCTGCATAGAGGATAGTCTCCCGGTTGCTGCCTCCCAAACCCCAGGTTCTCAGGTGTAAATCAGATAAACACCAGCACACACACATACCGCTTAGATAGCTTTGGAAAATGGTAGCACAGTGAGGTTGCAGCATTTGTCAAACCCAGAGCACTGGTACTGAGGACCTAACAGATATACCCAACTTGGGGAAAGGCAACTTTGATTCTATCCTATCCTATCCTCTTCCTTCTCATCTCTCTCTGTTAAAGCGTTTCCAGCAAGGGATCCCAAAACATTATTACATGCTACACACCATGCCTCTGAAATGCAGCCGCAAGCATGAGGTGCTCACCACCCAGTACATAGCCCATCAGTGCAGCCAAGGGGAATTTTGGTGAAGGACACTGAGACATGCTACTCATAAGCAAATGCCTGGGGATTATTAGAGACAAGTTGGATGAGGTAATATATTTTATTAATATTATTAAACATCTGCCCAGAGTAGACAGATCAACGGATTTTATGTTCTCATCTGGAAGAGTCACACACATCTACTATCTGCCTCAGAAGGTTGAAGGATTACTTTGGGCCTGCAGAGATTTGAATGTTTGGCTCAAGGGAATTCAAGTATTTCATATCAGAATTCAAGAAGATGCAGGTACTGAGCATCTTTAAGAAACTGGCAATTTATTTTAGGTCCTTAATATAGATTTTGGTGCCAATCTTTCCGTCTCCAAGTGCCCTAATCCCTCTGAGCCTCAATTTTCTCAGCTGTAAAGTGGGGCTTACAATACATCATAGG